TTTCAAACACCGATGCCTCAGAATCCTGGCTGGTTTCGGATGGCGTCAGCGTATCAGCAACGAGGCGATTAGAAAACGGGTATTTGGTTGTGCTGCAGGCACCTCAATCCGGGAAAACATTCAGCATCATCGACTACGATGGCTCGGTCGTGTGCTACGCATGTCGAAACACCGTCTACCGGGACGAGTGTTGTTCTCCGTGCCTCCTTCAGGATGGCGCAAACCGCGAGGTGGACAGCACATGACTTGGCAAAAGGCGTGAAAGAGATCACGAAGAGTTTGGGTGTTGTTGGTGTTGTGAGACCTCCAGGATGGGGTCTGCGTGACCCCGTCTGTGCTTGGCTGGAGACATTGCAAGAAGTGGCGGCTAATCGATGTCAGTGGCGTTTGTGCTGTCAGTTTCTTTCCAGATTGTCTGATTGAGCGGTTGGAGGTGCAGGCACCTCAGTATGCTTGACATAGGCCAGCATTGGGTCCCCTCCCTCCCCGACTCTTTTTCTCTTCTCATCACTGTAGGGCATTTGATACAATTATATATATATATATAACTAAACGGACTTTATGGTTGTGTGGCAGTGAAGCATCAGTGCCAACACTGATGTTGCTGTCTTTGATGATGATGATGATGATGATCTCAATTCAGCTACAACGTATAACCACCGCGAACCTCTAGACGGACAAACTGATGAACTATAGCGCATTACACAGCTCTTTCATTTCAGTAGAAACGCCTATGTTGCGATCTAGCAGTGAAATGACTACTCTATCGGTAATTGTTCGGTGACAGGATTCTTGGAAAGTTTCTATGGAGTTCAGGGAATGGCACTTTGAATTGCCACTTGAATCATCATCATCATCATCATCATCATCATCATCATCATCATCATCAGTGTCAGCCGTAAGAACCGCGTACTCGTCGTACAGTGGTTGTAGCTACCGCAGTTCCGTTCACCGATGATTTGGGAGAGGGTAGGTAGCTGCGCATTGCACGCGCGAGCTGGTAGATTGGTGCATAAATCCAGCACTGTCAGTGGGCTGTCAAGTGGGGGGGGGTTGGAAAAGGAGCTATGCATTGAAGGCAATAGCTTGGATGCACGAGCGCCATTGAGGGCGCGACTGGGCCATGTCTGACAATGTCTCTAGCCATTGATGTGGCTCGTCTCGGGGTCCCCATCCAGGAAGACGGCAGTGACCAGCGCAGCTGAGTTTGCTGGTAATGGCTTTCATACTTCGCTGCCAAGTCATTGTTTGACCGCCTCTGGCTCTCTTCCACCCTTCACATGGTTGGGCGAAAAGAGCCCTTCGAGGAAGTCGGTCGACTGGCATACGCAGCACGTGGCCAAGCCAACGCAACCTGTGCAGTGTGATCAGTTCATCTATCGAGGGTGAGTTATTTCTCCCGAATACCATTCGACGTACTTCAGAATTGCTGATCCGGTGTTCCCACCAGATTCGGGCAATGCTCCGAAGACATCGATGGTCAAACACTGAAAGTCTTTTGACGTCCTCGGCGCGCAGCGGCCAGGTTTCTGATCCATATAGTAATATGGAGCGCACCGCAGCATTGTAAACCCGACCCTTGACAGAGAAACTGATGTCACGCCTACGCTACAGGTGACGTAGGTTCGCAAAAGCTGCTCTGGCCTTCCCAATCCGGATGGAAATTTCCTCTTTCGCGAGACCACCGGGACTGATACAGCTGCCCAGGTAAACAAATTTGTCTACTACCTCAATCGGTTCATCCGCAAGCATGAGGCTAGGGTTCGAGCCCACCCAGTCTTGCAGTAGCACTTTACACTTTGCAGGTGTGAAGCGTATACCAAACCGCGAGGCAGAATTATTTAGATTATTTAGTATTGTTTGCAATGCCACGGGGTCAGCTCCTGGAAGAGCTATGTCGTCTGCGTACTCGATGTCTGTGAGCGGAGGCCCAGGGAGCACTTCGACCCCACAGGCATTAGAGGCTGGTAATGAGTCTTTCATGATCGTATCGATGACGAAGTTGAAGAGGAAAGGTGCCACGGGAAACAGCACTCTCTTGGGTAAATGATGGTCTCAGCATGTTAGATGCATGGCCTAACCAACACGATTTTTGGTTCTGGGCACACTCTTCCCCGTTGTATAAGTGAAAACTCGCTTTCTGACTGTCTAGTTAGGGATTCACCGACACCGACCCACACGAAATATAGTTCTAATACAACGGTTGTCGAAGACGTTTCAGTGCCGCTGCTCGAACAGCACACTTCCTTTGAGGTTCAGGTATATAGTGCTTTGACGCCATAGGTGTTTCAAATTAGCTAGGATAACCCGTGCATTGTAGGTTTCTGCATTGACCTCATCTGTCACACCATCGAGATTTGTACAACATCGTAGATACTTACAGCGCTCTACAACTTCGAGTGCCTGTTCTGTAAGTCGCATGTTCACTGACTGCGTGTCCAGGAGCATATTCCAGATCGACAGGGTTTTCGTCAGCGGCTATGTGAACACTAGGACTTCGGAAACCTTCCAGCGTTCGCTTTGTTTTCTCATCGGTCGCGAAAACAGATAGGACTGGAGGGAGTGGGCACCCCTGACGGACACCGCTTTGTGTACCATAGCTCTTGGAGAGCTTTACTCGGAGATGTGTAAGCGTGCCAAACAGAACAGAAGAGTGGACTGAATCGGATGTATCTTAGAAGCTGGGTGAGAACTTCACCCCCACCTTCGAACAATGCGGGCGGGAGGTCATCCGGACCAGAGGCTCGGTGGTACGTGAGAGAACATACGATCATAAATCTCTGAGGTTCTAGGGGGTTTCAGATTCACCGTCCAGAGTAATACTTCAGCTGTGAGCTCCTGATGATTGGCAGCGACTGGCCACGGGAATGGTTCTCAGAAGGGTTCAGCCCAATGGCCGAGGCGTTCTATGTTCAAGATTGTCGCATCAATCTGGTCCTTGATGACTTTGCCCACAGGCGGTTTCCGGGGGCCGGTCGCACGGAAGAGCTGAAATAGTCTTCAGGCATTCCTGGTTTTCTGGGCCCTTTCCATTTCCTTAGCTGTACGTATCCACCAAGCTTCGTGCTCGGCGCACACCCTCACTTTCACTTGACGTCTGATAATTCGTTGGGTCAAACTACCCTTGGCACCGGCGAGTCCGAGATGCAAACAATCCCACCGTCCTGTCTGATTGAGCGGGCCTTACAGCACCGTGCCGGCAGTGTGCATAAAAGTGGCGAGCTCGTGCCAGCATGGATTCACATATGATGGTGGAGCGTTTAAAAGAGACTCTAGAAGACGATTCTGGTAAATTCTGATCTTCAAATCACTCAGTTATCAAGCAATTTGTCCGCACTTTCTGCAGCCCTGGAAAACGTATGGAGAAGCGACTCCGTACGAGCGCGTGGTCGGAATCCACAAATGTATTCCAAGACGACCTCCAGTCAGTTATCGATCATCGCCATCAGTACTGATGATAATGTGACCAATTTGAGTTCATATCCGGGACGTCGTTGGAGGACAATATCTGGCCAGATGACTTCGGCTATTTCGCACTGTATGAAAACAGCTTGCGGTCAGCGCACAGCTGAAGCAATCGTTCACCATTGTCCGTACGTATTGCGTCCAATCCATGTCGATCGCCTAATTAAGCCTCAGGTGTGCTAAGCCTGCCCACTCGTGCATTCAGGCCTCCGGCTATGTGCGATCTCAAGTTGTTTTTACACAGCATCAACTTCCGAAATAGCCGACGTCGTCTGGCCACATGGTGCTCTCCAACGGCATGTCGGCCACAAACTCAAATCGATCACATTGCCATCAGTTACCAATAACGCGGATCAATAGCTGACTGTCGGTCGTTTTGGAATACATTTGTGGATTCCGAACACGCGTTCGTCCAGAGTCGCTTCCTTCTGCGTTTTCCAGGGCCGCGCAAGATGCGGACAAGTCGCTTGGCAACTGAGTGACTGGCAGATCCGGATGTCAGACGAATACACTTCTTCTTGATTTTCCCCCAAAGGCCCCACTGTCAGATGGGAACTCATACTGGGACAAGATTACCACCTCTTTGCACAGTGCTGGGAATCTTACCTGTGGCACGGCACCACCAGGCGCATTCAAGCACTTGATATCAGATCGAACGGTTAAATCTCCGAGAAATATCTCAGCCGGCCCCGAACATAACTTGATGCGGCGAATCTTCAGACGTTAAGTGAAGGTGAGTGTGGAAGCCGGCCGTGAAGTGTGGTGGACACAGGAAATGGAAGAGGCCCAGAAGGCCGGTACTATTCGAAGATGACTTCAGTTGATCCGTTCGACCGATCCCCATAAACCACCTGTGAGCGAAAGAATCAAGGTTCGGAATGGAGTGACCATCTCGAATAAAGAAGAACGACTCGACCGGTGGGCCGAATACTTCGAAAAATAATTGTCATGGCCACCAGCTGGCATCCATCTGGAGCCCAGAGGTGACGTAGAACCCTGGACGGTGAACGTAATCGATGAGGAGTGTGGAATGGCGACCGTAAATCATTTTGTTGAATTTCTTGACGGCAGACACGATTGCAAAGGCTTCTTTTTCCATTTGACTGTAATTGCGTTCGGCTGGTGTCGAAGATTAGGGTGCCTTAGCGATGGCTTTTCAGATCCATCAGGAAATCTATTGGAAATGACTGCTGCAACCCCATAGTTGGATGCATCTGACGCAAGTACTCTGACGGATTACTTGTCAGTAATAGTTTAGAGGCACTTGTTACGAGTGACATGCTGACCGCGAAAAAAGCCGAAAAGTTTTGCTTTCGGTCCGGCACACGTGGACAAGTTATAAACCACACGTCGGATATCGCTAGCCCAATAGAAAGGTTCTCAAAACGAACAAAATGTGCAAATCTCGTGACCCCGGGGTGGAATAATATGTCGTGAAGCTCTTGAATTTTCTTCGTCCCAAAAGGTAACGAGAAGGGGGACTGGTAACGCGGTTGTCCGTTCCTGGTCTATAGATGACTTCTTCGTTGTACTCCGCCAATTCGATTTTCAACCGTCAAATGTTGTCACTTTACTCTTCAGTTGGTTTCCCGTACATAAAAGCAACCGAACGTTGATCACAATCAGTTCAGAAGTCTCCCGAGGAGGTCGTGGCGTCATTTGCAGATCGCATCGACAATAGCATGTGCTTCTTTTTCAACAGCAGAATTGTTTCTTTCACTTGCGGTGAAGTTCCTAAAAAAAGATATCCGTCCGGTTACCCTGACTCTCGGATGCACTTACTGCGATGTCGAACGCATCAGCTTCGACGACGAGAGGGATACTGTAGTCGACAGTAACGACCGTTTCATTCTCCAGTTCGTTATTAAGGTTCTCAAACGCTGTTCGGACACTCTCCGGAAGTGGAAATATTTTTAAATTAAAGGATGAATTTTGTTCGAAAACACCGGTATCCGCTGTGAGTAGCATACGAACAGGCCCGCGGCTAATTTTCAGAAGGGCTTGGTAAATAATTAGTAGTTTTTAATTGTTTACCAAGCCCTTCTGAAATGATGGCTCCTCAATCGGTTCCAAACTTTTTCCGATTGATTGACACCCACGGCTCTTTCCTGAGATTTTCCGTCTTGTGGAATTGGGAGTTCTCTTATAGGGCGCATACGTTCCGGGTCAGGTTTGATAATACCTTTGGTGACCTTGTAAGCCAGAAAAGTAACCACTTTAGGTGCGAAGCTACTTTTTGTGTCGTTCAAAGTTGTGTGTTTTAGCAACGTCGTGTTCACATCTCGTTTCACCGCATACAGTAACGTTATCAGTGTGTCTTTTCATACAATCACGCACGGTATCAAGGTGTCTGGCACCTGTTCGTTTGATGATGATGATGATGTTCATTTCTGCTGGAAACACCTAACCCTGTTTGTCACTTCGAACGGGATGCGCCGAAATTGGTATAGGTTCCGCAGGCTTTGAATGCAATAAACGGCTTGTCTGACTCGATTAATGCAACCTAGTAGTATGCATCCTGGAGGTTCAGTATATTTTAGACGGTACAGTATGCAATGTTTTCGATCACATGATCCACTCTTGATAAAGGGTAAGCTTCAGGAGGCGAGATGGTTCAAGTGGTCAGAGTGCGAATTTATTGACCGGAAGGTCCGTGGTTTGAACCTCTCGACTTCCCCTGTCTAGGCTGGGCAACCTGGTAGTATCCCAGCCCTCGTGCTTCTTTCGGGTAGCATGGTAGCTAGACACCGGAAGGGTGTTACAGTTGACCGATTTTTTTCATGGTAGGTAAAACCATTGACTGTCTGACTTTAGTCTTTAACCATACGTTTCTTGTGGTTATTACTGCGCATTACGAGCACTTGCGCTCCCCATGGAGAATTTGATGTTTTGGTTATATCATCAGTGAGTATTCACTCTGGTTCCGGTATCTGACGACGAGATTTCGGAGCTATCGGCTTGCGATGCGCGGCGAGATTGGCTGATAAAAATGGGGATTCCAGTTTCGCGATTGTTACGTCAAACACAGTTAGAGTGGTACGTTCGCCATTGAATGGAATTTCAACTTTACCGTGTAACCCCAAGAAGTCATTTCCGAGAAGGACATCTGCATAGAGGTTCGGTAATGCACTAAGTTTGAACCATTCGTATCTAGCACCCTTCTACTGAATGGAAACAAGACAACATAAATGTATCGTTGACGCAATCGTTATCCCAGGATCCCACGGAAATGGTTTCTAGTTGTGAGCTTGTAGGACGGATGAGGAAACGAAACTTCTGGGGCTGCCGGTACTAATTAGGTCTGGGACAGCAACGCCGTTGACCAAAACATCTGTTGTATTGTTAGATAGGCATTTGGGAGCAGCGTCACAGAATAACGAAGAGATTAAGGAGCCCACGTGATAGTTCGAGGTACCGATCTACAGACGCGTTGAAAATGCCCCATTTTCCCGCAACTTTTGAAAACTGATTCTTAATCTGAACAACTATTGCGAGAGTGTTTGGGGCTCACAAAAGTAGCATGTTTGTCTAGTGTCAGCTCGATATTAGAAGGAAGACGATAGAATGGCGTAATCTACGCTTTAATTATCTAATACCTATTGCACAAGAGCTGAAAATATAGAGTGAAAATTACTGACTAATGGTATACGAAAAGTATGGTTTGCATAGTCATAACATGGAACCCGAAACGGGACACATCAATGGATACGGATATTGTCAGACATGACCCAGTCGTACCTTCACTGTCGCTCGTGCATTCAAGCTATTGCCTTCAATGCATAGCTCCCCTTCCAACCCCCCGCCCCAGTGAGAAGTCCACAGATGATCCTGTATTTGTGTATCAAGTGTTCAGCTACCGCCTCTAATGCTCATTTACTTACCCATCTCCCCAAATCGTCGGTGAACGAAACTGGCAGTTATAACCACCGTACGACAAACACATGGTTCATACGGCTGATGGTGATAATGTTGACCGCCGGAATACTGCACAATGTCGATTTCGAACTTGTTTGGAGAATGACCAGTTGATGTTGTAGGCGGACTGAACTATCAAGGTTGCTTTGTCAATCTTGTTCGTTCCGATAAAGACCATATTTGCATCCGGATAATGAGGCCAGGGCAGTTTCTGTCAACCCTTGGAGCATCTATGGCGTGACACTTGCTTATTCATCAAGGTCTAGGTTACCATACCACATTACGTTTCCTATTTCTAGTTGGGTCGGAGCGCGAATTTACTGAAGGTCCGTTGCTCGAGTCCGACCCCTGTCTCTCGACTTCCCCTGTCTAGGCTTGGGCAACCTGGCAATATCCCAGCCCTCCTGCAACCTTCGGGTGTCATGGCAGCTAGGTACCGAAAGGGTGCTAAAGCTGAACGATTTGGGTCGGAAACCTAGCCACTACGAACTAAGGATGTTGAATATCTTCCTGATTCGACCGCAGATGTCTTCGTTTTATTGCCCGAGTCTGTTGGGACCAGTAACGCTGCAGTACACTGAGTGGTTTTTGGAAGGGGTGACTCACACATGATAGATGAGCCAATAACACGATTTGTTGCGCTGGATTAGTCACGTGTTTTGTACGCCAGTGGATTGAGTCTCCCTGGGAGTCCTCTTCTTACAGTCATTCGGATGTTGGAACAAACCTGGCTGCGTTAACACCTGTTTTCTTTTCTAATGTGAACCGCACTGGTTATGTATACCGGCGGCCATGGCCGAGTTACATACTCACTGATGCGTATACATCTGGTCTCTTGTTTGTAGTGCACAGCTTTCCCTCCTGGTTTTCCCGCTACTAACCCTGGATTGATACGTCAACGATATTAGCTACTGCATTTCTTATTCGCTCGTAATCGGGTGTTGTAGACGAAGTGCCAGTGTAACTGTTTGGATACGGTACATTTCGGGGTAGTTTAGTTTTTTTTCGCCAGAGCGTCCAATATGCGAATCTGTCTTGATTTATAGGATAACATATCGACTACCAATAGGCAGTCTTTAGATAGGTTTTCGGAAAGCGACAGAGATTGGACAGTGCATGAAATTTACCTCTTTACTAGTGATACCTGATCTACACCGTCCTTAAGGCTGATAACTCCGTTCGCTGTGTATCGAGAAGCACTGCGCTGCTTCGCAACCGGTGCAGGTGCCTCAACGTCGAACACCACATGGGCAATGCAAAGTAGTTCCGTGGGGGTTGTTATTCGGGGTGTTCTGGATATGCTTCCAGAAGTGAAACGGCTTCATCGGCTGTTTGAATAGGTTAGGTATGATCGATAGGGGCAGCCAAACAACTGTTTTTCAGTGCTCTTTGTCTTGTCCTGCTGATGGATTGGCTTCGATGTTGCACGCAAACTTGGTCACATTCCGTGCGAGGATCGGACATCTATTTTCTGGGACAGATTTTTTCGGTGGATTCCATCGGCGGATTGCCATACGTATTTTCCGTGGTCAGCTTTCCATCTTTTGTCCGTTTTTTCAGCTTTTACCTAAAATAGCGCGGTAGTTGGTCGAACTCCCTTCTCATCTTCGTGACATCTCGGTAGGACACAGACCTCCCCACTATTTCCACACTTCACACGAACTTTTCCTTCAAGTATATAGATTTACAAGCAAATAAATGAATTCATTTTCCAGAAGTAACGGTCCCTTTGATTAGATGAGAGAGGGAAGCGTAGCCGTTGTACTCATCTTTTTTATAAGTGTACGCCAATGGCACTGCTGGGGTTTTCCTATATGAGTGTCGTTCATCTTTTCGCTGCTTTTAATCAGGTACAAAAAGGCTTCCGAGGTAATCGAGGCTCGACGCACGAAATATGCAGACTTCGAAATACTCAAGGTGATTGGCCAGGGGGGCTTTGGTCGAGTTGAGTTATGTCGCCACAGACGGACACGGAGGGTGTACGCGATGAAAATGATGAGCAAACAGCATTTACTGGATCACAGCCAGTCCGGTTACTGGGAAGAACGAGACTTGATGGTCCGAGCATCAAGTGAATGGCTGGTCGCTTGTCATCACGCGTTCCTGGTGAGTTATAACATTTTGGCGTGACTCGTTTATTTTTACTGTGCAGGTGGCACCGATTTTTTGCAAAACGTCATGGATATTTGAAAAATTGATTTGTTGGCGTCATGTTCATTGCCTACTGGGAGCCGCCTGGCTTATACTGGTTAAAGCAGTTATCCTGTCTGCACCCACGCACCGTTGTTGCGCTTTGAAGAGGAAAGTTACTTTTCGTTCAGCATTTCATCGCGTCTCGCTACCGAAATGCCCAATTTTTCTTTTGTTAGCCGGCAGATCGACGGGCTTTTTGGATGTTTTGTGGAACGTAGGTGGAGTGCGAACTTCCTTGTTTGCACATACAGTAGGCGGAATTAAACAGTGCAAAGCTGCAATTTTGCACGATTGCTCTTCACCAATGGTCTGATATAACTGAAACCACGGCTGGTTTGGCTCCCATAGGCTCAGGTTTTGCAAGACTTGAGCTCGCCAGGGGTAGCCGCCCTGCATGTAACCAGAAGTTATGGGCCATTCTAGAGATGTTGAGCAGTGGCTTTGAAAAGATTACACAGACTCGTAGCAGAGGTATTTTCTCAGCTTAGTTCTCGGTCTGAACCTTCCAAGCTAGCGTTCCCATCGAAGCAACCACCAAAGATGCACAATCTGTACTAACGCCAAAAAAACAAACAAAAACATATACAGCACATTGTAAAGTGTATACGGCGACAACATTCTGGAAATTCTGACCTCTGGACGCGACCTTGACAACCTGCATTCGGCAGATACTGAGTCATGATTGGCTTTTGGGTCCAAGCTTTTGACCAATCAGGGCTCACCTTGATGCTGGACAGGCAAGCGGCCTGATCTTTTGGCCAATAGCATATGGGATGGGCTTCTTGGTAGTTGCAGGGCCTCAGTGCGTGTGGTAAAGTGGCGTCAGTGCGGAATTCCGCCTAGCACTACCAGTATCCTCTTCGGTTGCAAATCGGTCCCAGATTCGCGATCCGCTTTTAGTTTGTCTACAACACCAAAGATCTTGTGTCAGCTGTATACAGGCCTTACCATGATTGCGCATATATTTTGAATGGGTTAGTATTCGTATCCTTATTCAGTCTAGTCTGGCAATCAAATGTGCTGCAGTGATCTCGTTACTTAAACAGTATGAATCGAAGGATCGCCAAATGGTTTGCTGTTTTCGCTGTTTATAGAAAAGCCGAAGGAGGTGCCCATTGAGTGTTTCGACGTGATTTTTCAGTGCGGTTTAACCAAAGGTGTGGATGTACCGCAGAAATGAAATCCAAAGCCACAAATGACCTTTTATTGTGTCTTTGGCTGTTTTAGTTCCCTCTTTTCCCATGCAGCGCGACGTAAAGTTGGGCGCATCAATCATGGTTTCGACGTGGAATAGCCCTACATTGCAACAAATGCTTGAGCAGCCCAAGACATACCGCTACTCAGCAATCGCTGACCCTAACTTCAGGGGGACTTTTGTCTCTGTAGACAGGACGACCCTTCTACACATATCTGGATAGTGTATGCCACTGGAGTTGGTAAACATGCTTCTTTATTTCTACCCAACACCACTGGCGGACGAAGAGTTTACATCCAACTGTACAAAAGATATCCCGCATCATGGGGACGTCGGCTTATCTCTCTCTGTGTTCAGTCATGAAATCCACCCTCATAGGGACCGAAAATCTGTGGACGAATCGGTAGCTGGAGAAAGTTTGGTGGATTTGGGTTGTACGGACGATATTTTTTTGTTATTCAATGATCAAAAGTCTGCACAATCTAATCTAAACAAAAACCTTAACTGGGCCCCTTGCTTCGGCATGCATTTTTCACTTTCAAAGTACCAAGTATTGCCTTGGGTTTTCTACTCCCTTTGTGTACCTTTGGAACTTCTCGGTGAAGAACTTGAGATTGTTGGTCGGTCTTCGCAGCTTCATAAGCCACGAGCGTAGTGTGACTGATCTGGTCACTCCGCATGTTATCAAAACGCGAGCAGCTCGTGTGATTCGAGAGCGTAACTTGGAGAGCTGTGTGTTCACAGAGCACACACAACAGCAGGTGGAGAAGCTTGTCCACTGTTGTTTGAAGACCTGAAACACCCCCCAAACATCTGTTCACGGTTGGTTTCACTGCATGGCGGAATTTAGCTGACTGCAGTGTGTAGGAAATTTAGCGATACGTGCTGAAGCAGAATCACTGCAGCACCAAAAAAACGTGACAGTCTTAGATGGTTGGGAATTGTACCGCGCTTACCCCCGCTTACCAAAAAAAGCGTTGCTTTCCATCTGAAGCCTTCACTGACGAAAAGTTTGTGGTGGGCAGGCCGTCAGGTGATAGCGTTTTCTAGAGGGGCCTAACGTTGACTACCTTGCATGTTGAGAACCCTATAATACGTGTCGTACAGCCGAGCCCACTTGCGACCGTGCTGTCGCTTACTAGGAGGATTGCCAAGTTAGATTTTGTCTGTCCTTGTATCATGGGCTTTTCTTTTCTAAGATATGAAAAGGACGCTTGGTCAATCCCACTAATGGCGTCCTTCGATGTGATACTCAGATGTGTTTACTTCATTGTTGTCTATAGGGGCGTATGCTTTCCACCCACCCCAACCTTTCCATTATTCACTATGATCTTTCCTCATGGCTGTGTGGCCTTTAAGCTCCAGTAATTGCTGCTGGTGTATTGCTGTCGATGATGACGATGGTGGTGATGACGGTGATGAAACCAAACCATCTAAACCGTCCAGATCGCACTTTTTATCGTTGTTGAATATCATTGTCCTCATTGATGCTTTCGTAAGATGTGATTTTCCGCTCACTTGACTCTGTGCTGATCGATAGGGACTATTCATTTTCAGAAACAAGTCATGATATTTGTTTCATATACATGGTGTTTGTTATTCAATTCCATACGGCTGTTCGAAAGCTTTTACTTCAGAGATTCTGCGGTAACCCCTGTTTCTTTTTGATAACACTCCCAGAGTTTGGCCTGTTTGGCTTGTTTATGGGTGCCCTCGATTAGGCAAATTTAATTGAAACACACTTCGTGCTTGCCCCGAGATTCCTAATGGTGCGTGCAATTCTTCTATCCACCAAAGGTTACAAGAATTCGTGTGGTATGCTTCAGTTGACTGAGGGAACCAGTATGTTGCTCCTATCAAGAATCACTAATTACTATCAAGAACAAAGGTGACCTTGGATAACCATAAACTGAATCAAGAACATTGTGCGTTCTGATGTTGTACACGAACACTTATCGATTGAGTAAATGATGTAGCCTCAACAGCCTTTCGCATTTTTAGTGCGCAACATGGCTTTTCGTAAGTTTCATATGTATGAACTCGAAGTTGATTGTAAAATCGATGAACAACTGCCCTGACTGATATCTGTTGCAAATTTCCAAGTTAAACTGGAATGGAAAAGTTCAAGAAAACAACAGGTGGCATCAATGATGTTACACAATGTGTACCTTATTCCGGTGTTTTCGGTGACCACCGATTTCCACTCTCTGTACCTGATCCCAGCTCGGATCAACACACCTTCGTTTCCATCGGAGATCTCTTGTTTATCCCGTGTGACGGCTGGTTTGTAGGGTTGTTATCACTAGGAAGGCAGAGAAGCTCCCACTGAATTGCACATGTCATCTTCTAGGTGGAGAATGTCCGTTACTCATAGGTATTAAGACTTCAACATGGAAGAAACTACAATAAAGAGTATTACGAGTGCTATCAAATGAACAATTAACTAATCGATGTTTTTCGCTGATTCAGGGGGAGAAAAAGCAAGGTCGTAATTTAGGTATCGTGAACCAATATTTACTCCTTTTACTTTGAAAAGGGCATTTACGATGATATCTTCCCGATATTTAACACACGAGTAGAACAGACATTCACTCTAGGGGTAAATGAGAATTTTTTCTGAGGACAATAGACTCGCGCTTTCGATGCTTCACAAATTCCCAACGTGTGAACGGTTCATTGTATGGAGGGTGAATGAATAACTGGCTCTTTCCAAAAATTGGGTTATAACTTCGGCATAAGATGCAAAGCCAGCAGTTTCCGAACTTTTCAGGAAGTTTCACTTTTCAGAGAGTCCAAGTCTGCCTTGATCGGACACTACCGGAAAGCGTTCCACAGATGTTAACAATGGTTCTTCTACTTTCGTTTATTTTTGAAGAGCATAGTTACAAACATCAAAATTAAACACAAGCGACAGATGTGCAATATTAGATTGGATATCAGATGAAACGATGAAAGTGTCCCGTTCGAAGGCGCCTCACCAGCATTTCCGGTCAGGCAAAATGAATCCCAACGTGTGTAAGAATGTTTGGTATGGAAACATGCGTGTAATGACCAACAACCGAAGAAAGGACTTATGTATTTACTCACTTGCGACTGCGTTTATTCATCAAATCTCGGACGGAGCCATGGCTTGGCGAGTTGCCTAGGTCGGTGACTCGTGAGTTTTCATGGCACCATTCTGCGTTCCACACTGATTGCTAACCAGTCATTGTGCATGTGTTACTTGGTCAATACCCCTTAATCGAACTCTGCAAAGTTCACCGTCGCTGCGTTACCTATGGCCAGTGACCGCATTTTCGAAAGGATTGATACTGAAGGTCCGTTCTGTTCAAAACCCACAGTACACTTTTTCCCAGAGATGCTCCTGATACACCAATGGGTATTTGCTCTTTTCGGTATTTTTCTACACACAGCCATCCCGAGTCGAACTCATACTGCACTACTCAGACATGGTTTTTCCAAGATTAGACTGCACGTCGAAGTTTTCGTGATATACCATGATTTTCATTTGGGTTGTGGTGGTTTTGATCAGTTCCTGTCGGATAATACTACCCGCAACTGCCTCACATCCACGATATTCGTCCTCCGCCACCGTTTCAGTCACTCAACTAATGGTCAAACACACTTCGTTCAACTTCCCACGCATGTGTACACCGCATTCATTTTGTGCGTGTCTTGTAGGACACATCGGCAAAGGTCTGTTGTTTCATGGGGTGTG